CGCCGTCCAGCGGGCAACACGTGTCATAACCGACACTTTGAATTTTGAAATTCAAAAATTTCGAGCGGGAAAAGCCAAAAATTCAAATTTAAAGGTCCAGTTTTAAGTTTTTACTTCCCGCTTATGACAAAATTGCACAACCGAGAAGTGGAGGGCTTAATGATGGGTGTATTTCACCCATGACCGGTCAACGGTCAAGACCGGATAGTTGACCGGTCAAAGAAGTCAAACTTGCAAGAGAGGTCTAGATCGTCGGCGAAGGGATGACTGGTTAACCAAAAGGTTGACCGGTATGCTTAGGATAGTATACCGGTCAAACTATACCGGCGACTAATTCACCCTACAAAGATGGCCACGCCAACCTGCAAGAACCAACCGGTGTAGTTCCTAGAGATTGGGGAAGTGTCGGCAAGAGGAATCCAAAAGGACTTGGACTGTAGTGTTTGGAATTGCAGGGATGCTGAGGGAATATTTCCAAACCAGAACGCGACAAGGGTGCCACCCCCCGCGCAAGATGACAAGGCAGCTCAGAGCCAGTCACTTCACACCACCACGCCAGCAGCATGCCCCCACGTGGGCGCACGTGGTCCTGCTCCCCAGCCTAGTATATATACCTCTTGTAACCCTCGAATGAGGGGATCCGAATTCATTCTCTCTAAACTCCCTTGTAAAAGCACCCGTGCATTCTCCGTTATAATATAAATTGGGCTACAGGTGTTCCACCTAAAGTCCTACCGGTCAATCTGCGTGTTTTTACCTTTCTTACTTCGCCAAATCAAGCGAACTATTCTGGACCCGGTCTAGTATAGTTTGACCGGTCAGGTAATTTACACCATCAAGTATAAATTAAAGTATCTAAAAATAAGTCTCATAGCCTGTTGGGTCAACCCGAACCCGATGACACAAGGTCATTAACATATAGTTCTCAATTCGAACTTGAACTTGAACCCGATCTGACTGACCAACTTGCCAGCTCTACTTAGCTTGCACTCCCTCCGTTCAATAGTAGTGTTCAAAAATACTTCATATTATTTACATGATCAAATATACACATGACACACAAGTCATACCAGTTAGATCCATGATGGGCGTGTTTCGGGTTAGGTGACATTTGTTTTAGAGGTAGGCTTGGGTTATTATGTTAGGTTTTGGTCAATTTTTGGTCAATTTATTTCAATTCGAGTTTGTGTTCAATTCGAGGGAAGTGTGGGTTTTGTCCACTAATAAGGCTCTGTTCCGTACGCTTGGTCTGATTAAATCTGATTTGAATTTTTGAAGTTCTCATCTGATCTGATTTGATTGGATCTGATCTGATTCAGTCTGATCTGATCTGATTGAATCTGATCTGATTGGATCTAATCTTATCTAATTAGATCTGGTGTAAGTGAATTTAAATTTGATTTAAATTAAACTTAAAATTATTACAAAATTTAATAGTTTTAAAGTATTACAATTCATATATACATAAAAAAGTAAAATAAGAAAATCATCTAATCATTGATATATTTAATTTTTTTTGAAATTTTAAACATCTTTTCAATATCACTACTTTTTGATTTTTTGTGAAAACTAAATAATCGGCATTAAAATAACCAAATATTAGAAAACATCGATGCTATTTTACAAAAATATACATTATGTATGCATATTACATAATAATATATTTCATGTTACAAATTAAATATCATATAAAATGTTAAACACTAATATCTCTTTTACCTCTATCAATTTTGTCGTAAACTCGCCCTTGTATATATTATACCATCTTAAAGTTTAAAAGTAAGTCCTTTTAAGTATAACATATTTATGGTTTTGAAAACTATGTTTTCTATAATTATTTTATAAACAAGTACTCCGTATTTAAAAACAAGTTTTTTTAAAGTATGAAAAATACAACTTTTTAAACTTTAATCTTGCTTCCATGCATCATTCCTATAAACTGAGCAATTATTAAAAATAATGGTTTATAGTTGAAATTTTAGAATAATAATAATATAACAATATTTTGCAATAATAATAGTTAGAATTATAATGTTAATTAAGATTTAGGTGTGTGTAGCTTTAAATAAAGTAATGTGATTTAATCAAATAATAGTAATTATTATTTAATCCTTGAAAAATATAAATATTTTTTTAAATATTTTTTCTTGATTTGATATTCTTAGACTTGATCTGGTCTGATATGATCTGATTAGATCTGATCTGATCTGATCTCATTTTAATAAAAATAATTAATAAATAGAAAAAAACAAGTCCTATGGAATGGACCCTAAGGCGAAGCTTAGTCGGATTAGTTTCGGTATGCATTGAGTCAATATCAATTTAACTAAGTTTGCGTTCTGTTCGCCCGGTGTGATCTGATTTGATATGATTTTTTAAAGTTTTGATCTTGTTTGATCTGATATGATCTCATCTAACTTTTCAAAATTTTGATCTGATCTAGTTTGATCTAATCTGATTGGATTTGATTTGATCTGAATGCATCTTATTATATCGAAATTCGATTCAAATTAAACTTAAAATTATTGCCATAATTTAATATCTTTTAAAAATTATAATTATCATTCATATTATGATACAACCACTAACATTTATTCAAGAATTATTAGATTTATGAAATAAAAATAATCAATTCATATATACATTAAAATAAAAAATCATGGACAATAACCAATAATTGAAACATTTAATCATTTACTTTTAAATATTTCATATATGGAAGAGAGAATATTATTATTAAAATATCCAATCATTAGAAAATATGAATGTTATGCTACAAAATATTACATTCTTTTTGCATTTGGCATAAAAAATTTATACTAAAAATAAGAATATAAAATTTTTATGATATAAAATATTACATTTTTCCTAAGTTTAAAATAAATAATTAAAAATTTATGTGTATATTTGTCATGAGCAGTATCTTCGAACCCTGGTTGCATGATATATCTGGTGGTGGCTCCACACGGCTTAATGTGAAAAGAGTAGCAGATGATAGGTTGCAATAATAATAATAATAATAATAATAATAATAATAATAATAATAATAGTAATAATAGTAATAATAATAATAATAATAAGAAGTTAGGGTAGATGGTATGCTTTTTAATAACTAGACACGTTTCTCCATGACTACATTCATCCCTTCCTACGTGTTATAATGATAATATGTTGTAATAATAATAATAATAATAATAATTCTGATTGGGTATGATTTAATTAGACTTGATTTGATTCAATTTGATTTGATTGGATATGATATGATTTGATCTGATTGGATATTATCTAATTAGATCTGATCTAATTAGGTCTGATCTGCTATGATCTGATTTTAATAAGAACAAACAATAAGCAAAAAAAATGAATTGAACAGAATGCATCTTAAGTCTTGCACAAGAAATCGGGATGACTTTGAGTAGGGTTTGTTCTTGTCAAATTTCATTGGGAGTTTTTGGCAAATTTT